AACGTTTTCCGCTTGCCGGGACCATTCCGGAATGGTTCTGGAATGATTGCATCCCACTTTCTTGCCGCCAGTGTGATAACGTCCTAGGGTGGTGCATGGAGTGCGAACCACACTGGGTGACCCCTTAAGGGGAAGGTGACACCGCTGCTCCCCAAAAATCTGTCTTTTGGCAGAAATAGGCTGTGGTGTTTGCCAGCATTCCTTTAAAATGCTGAAGAGATGGGGTGAGTGGGGTGAGACTCAGTGGAAGGAGAAAAGAGACAGCCCAGGCTTCATTAAAATTCAATTTTAATTTTAAAATATTAAAATTGTAAATTCTTTTACATTTTTCTTTATAAACCTCTCATCTTACCCAATTTTCACTTTAACCACATGAAGCAATGTACGTGTCAATACCTTTAGGCTGTGTGTACGATAATCTAACCTTAATTCGACTAGTTGTTTGGGTCACAACTCTTGCCATGACATTCAGTGATATACAGGAATAATGAGTTAAGAGTAATACAAAAAAACATTACTAAGGATTCTGTATGGCGTGGTATGGGAGGAATTCAATGTAGGAGTGACACCATGACACCAGGTGACACTAAACCTAGTGACACCACTGGCTTGTGTGACAAAGTCCTTTGTCAGCAGAAACATCCTTCTGTTTAGAAAACTTGAATGAAGGAGAGTCCATCAACTTTCCTTGTTGACTGGGTACGATGGGGAATAGTAGTATAACAGATCAGGAGGACAATTGGTTTAGGAAAAGCTGTGCTAAGCAATACATCAATCCAGCTAGTGAATATGAGCTCCTTTGTTCTCTAGGAGAGACATATGGTCTAGTCAGAGTGAGAGGGTTGGCCTGTCCACTCACTTGCCTCACTTTGTCTCTTGTAGCCCAAGGCAGAATATAATTTTATTCCACAGCTGCTTATGTTTCACTGCCTCGTGACCTGGACAAGATAAATCCTCCATATATGCTGTTCTCTGGTCTGGGTGCAGCAGGCACAAAGGTTGTTGGGGCTTACACTTGCTTCAAATGTCTTGATGGGAACTCTGCTCCCTAATTCAAGAAGCGTGCCAAGGTACCAGAGACTACTCAGTGCTGTCACAAATAAATTCTGCACATGCTCAGAAGCCCCCTCTTTGAATATGGCTTTCATAGTTTCTAGAGCCAAGCCTCAGTACTAGAATGAAGGGTGGAAACTAGGTAAAGTAGAACAGGCATGATATAGCACATAAAGTTGTCCAGGAAGAAGAAAGGACTTTGCTCTATGGCAGAGCTTCCAAATTTTACTTTTAAATATGTTTTTATTGTTGTGTGCCTTAAAGTTCTTCTGACTTAATGGCATCCCTATTGTGTTTTTTTTGGGGTTTTTTGGAAAGATTTCATTTGAGAGGGTTTGCCATTGCAAGTAACATAATGAATGGGCACTACCAGTCAGATTGGTTCGTTTTAAAGTTTTACAGTGCTCTGGTTGGATTAAGACATCCTGATATAACCGAAAATATATCAGATTTAAGAAGAGCTATGTTAAGAGAGAGTCGATATGGCATAGTGGTTTTTGTGTTGGCTATGATTCTGGAGACAACAAAATCCATTGGGTGACCTTGGGCAAGTCACACTCTCACAGCCTCAGAGGATGGCAATGGAAAAACCCCTCTGAAGAAGTTTGTCAAGAAAAACCCATTATAGGGTCGCCTTATGGTCACCATAAGCTGGAAACGAGTTAAAGGCATATAACAACAAGAACAAATGTTAGTATTATTGTTATGTACTTTCAAGTAAACTCTGACTTAAGGTAACCCTATAGTAGGAGTTCTTTGGCACAATTTATTGAGGGGTTGCCATTGCCATTTAAGGTTGAGGGAGTGTGACTTACTCAAAGTCACTGAGTAGATTTCCATGGCCAAATGGGGATTCAAACCCTGGTGTCCCAGAGTCCTAGTTCAACACTCAAACTACTGCAACATGCTGGTTCTCTGTTTTTAAGACGACAGCTCTCAATTCTGATAGTTATAGGCCGCTGTCACATTGCAAAATTAATGCAGTTTGACACCACTTTAACTGTCATGGCTCCATTCTATGGAATCCTGGGGTTTGTAGTTTGTTGTGGCACCAGAGCTCTCAGACAAAGACGGTTAAGCATCTCGCAAAACTACAAATCCCAAAATTCTATAGCATTGAGCTGTGGCAGTTAAAGTGATATCAGACTGCATTCATTCTGCAGTTTAGATGCAGCTGTAGTTTTTAAGACTACAAATTCTGATCATCAAGGAAAGTTTACAAATGCATTTTCTATCACTTTGCAGTGTTTGCAACCTGAGAAGTCTCTACGAAACAGATGAAACACCTCACAGGCTGTGTGTTTTGTATCATCTAAGTGCTTTTCAGTACAGGTCATTGGCATCTTCTCCCACAAATGTGCTGAGTGATTTACGAATATGTGTGAACCTGCAGGGTGTCTGCCAATATACACACCAAATTCTTCCTCCACATGGTTCGATGCAGCTACCATTGAGGTGGAATAAGTTATTGACAGATGCCTCACACCTTTCTTTTTCCCTCTCAAATAACAATCCTCCAGAGTAGAGAGAGCTCTTTTGTAAAAATTTATTTGTCTTTTTGTACAATATACTTGCCTCTGGAAAGCAGCTCTTGATGCAGTTGTAAGGAAACCTTTTATATAGGGTGAGTGAGTGTGAGAACTGGGCTTAAAACCCAATATAGTGGGCCTTTGGTATCTGATGCAATTCGGTTTAAGGATCCCCCTGTGGATAACAAAAACCGTGGATGCTCAAGTTCCATTAAATACAAGGGAAGTAATGTGGTCTGTCCATTACTGCAGTCAAGAAATCAGAGAATGGGGAGGGTGGCTATGAAAGGACAAGAAAAGATTCTAAAATGAAAAGACATACAACTCAGCACAAAGGTTAGAATCATACAAGCCATTGTATTCCCTATTACCATGGATGGATGTGAGAGCTGGACAGTTGAGAAGGATGATAGGAAGAAAATTAGTGCATTTGATATGTGGTGCTGGGGAAGAGTGCTGAGTATCCCACAGAGAGCCAAAAGGACAAACAAGTGGGTCGTAGAGCAGATCAAAACTGGAAACCTCCCTGGAAGCCAAGATGACCAAACTGAGGCTGTCATACTTTGGATACATCATGAGAAGGGAAGACTCTTTGGAAAAAACAATAAAGCTGGGGAAGATGGAGGGAAGTAGGAAGAGAGGAAGGCCTCATGCCAGATGGATGGACTCTATGAAAGAGGTCACTTTGGGTATTAAGAGGCTGCAGGATTTAAGCAGAACAGTGAAGGACAGAGGGTCTTGGAGAAGTCTCATCCATAGAGATTGACTCAAGGGCAGTTAACAACAACAAAAATGTGGTGTAGTGGTTTTAGCATTGGACTAAAACTCTGGAGACCAGGGTTCAAATCCCTGATTGAGCATAATAAACCATTGAGTGAACCTGGGCAAGTTACACTCTCTCAAGTCTCAGAGGATGGCAATGGCCACCCACCCAAGAAAACCCCATGATATCGCCTTAGGGTCACCATAAGTAAAAAATGACTTGGAGGCACACAACAACAATATAAAACAGCAAAATTAAGGTTGGCTTTTTGGAACTTATATATTTTTGAATACTTTCAATCCATGGGTAGTTGAATGTGTGGACACGGAGGGCTGATTGTATTTACCCTCTGACCCATGCAACACAGCATCTATTCCAGCAGATCCTGGCATCTTTCCACACCTTTAAGTTTGTTTCCTGCAGAGGTAGCCAGGTGTGAAAGGGGAAATGAAACCAAGCTATTAGGAGAGGTGGGAGCAAAGGAGGGGGAGAAGTTGGAGGAATCAAAAGGGGTGGAGGGGTGTGTATTTCCTCTGTAGAGACAGTTTGTGTGCAGAGATAAGGGTTTTGTCCCTCAGTTATATGATTCAATAGGTGATAGACTGTTAGTCTCTCCTAGTTTCCTCCTTCCTCCACTTCTGCTGCAGTAAAAAGAGGGGGGGGGGGGGGAATGAATCCAGGCATCCTGGCTCCTATTTGCCTCTACTAATTCACAGTGTGTTAACTCAGGCGAAGTGATCTGAATGTTGGGACTACAACTCTGGAGAACAAGGTTCAATTCCTGCTTGGCCATGAAGCAACTGGGTGACCTTAGGCTAGTCATACACTCTCAACATCGGGAAGGCCTCCTCTGAATAAATCTTGCCAAGAAAACCCCATGATCAATTTAACTTAGGGTCGCCATAAGTTGGAAATGACTTGAAGGCACACAACACACACACACACACACATACAGAACCCACTGAATAGGATGCAAATTACTTATTCCATTTGGGACTGTAGACTTATTCCCTTCTGTCACCTCCAACAGGTACATGACAGGCAGAAATCAAGTGGGATAGACCAGAAGGGGCGAGAATTATGTTACAGTAAGGTTCTGATAAGAAGTTACGGTACCTGCTTTTATTATTCTTACTTTTCATATTTGAGAAGAAAAGAATTCCTTGAAGTTTAATTAATTTGAACCTTGGGAAATCCAAAGCAACAGATTTTGTCCATCCAAGTTTTGAGCATTTAAAATATCTGCATGTGAATCCCTGGGCATTCAAAAATTATGCAAATGCAAGGAGATAAATAGGTAGCCCTTCTCAGTGGGGAAGGTAAACAGCGTTCTGTGCAGTCATGCTGGCCACATCATCACAGAGTAATCTCTCACAACACTGGCTCTTCGGCTTAGGAACGGAGATGAGCACCGTCCCCCAATGGTTGGACACAACTTGACAACCTTGTCAACAGGGAATACCTTTACCTACATGTATTAGTTGCTTTTATTGTATCATACTTTACGTGCATAATTTGTTTATAATTACTGTATAGTTTTATATTTTATTATTCCTTAGATTGTACACCTCTGGCAAGATTTAATTTTTTGAGTTGATTGTATCTGCAAAGGGCCATGTAAATTTATGGCACTATACAAATAAATGATGATGATGATAATAATAATAATAATAACCTCCCTCTGAGGCTGAGAGAGTGTGACTTGCCCAGGGTCACCCAATGGGTTTCCATGGCCAAATGGGGATTGAAACCTTTTTCTCCAGAGTCATAAGAGTCCAATGCTCAATGCACTACACTAGGAACAGGCAACCTTTTTGAGACCTGGGCCGGTCTCCCGTCACCCAGGTCT